CAGCACAGCAGCCACTCCGTTTTTTAATCCAATCATGACTGGCGCGTTATCACACGCCATGCCGATGCAGTTCTGGAGCGGTATCTTTTTGCTCGTTAGCGTGTCCACAATAAGTGCACCGATGTTTCGTCCCGTGGAGTTACCTTCAAGGGCAGGCATCGCGAGCAAGGCAGTGCGAACAGTACTATCACAGAACGTCACCACGATTGGATACAGTTTTGCATCGTTGCCGGCGTCATTGCTCCCGTCTGTGGCAACTGAGAACGGAGCGTGCTGCAAGTGACTTATCATTTCGTCGATAGCTTCATTGGCCATTTCCTTCACAATCGCCGTAGTCTTCGTACGGGCGCAGGCGTAGTTCTTAGCTTCCTTCGAGTCCGGAAACATTTTTCGAAAGAGGTCTCCAGCGTGATCAGCAGCCGTGAACGGCACGTTGTGTTCAATCAGGAACGCAGTAAAAAGGCACTCCGCTCGAGTTGTAGTATCGAGATCCGCTTTGCTGAAGTACCCTCCAAGTTTCCCGTTAGAGTCCACAAGTTTCGCCGAGTCTTTGTGTTTCTTCGTATTCACATGTAGCAGAATATCCCGGCGACCAGCGTGCGAAATGTTCACATCACAGCAGCACAAACTACAAAATGCGTACCGCTCATTTTTACGCGACCTCTTAATAAATGGAAAGTCAGTCGAATAGCTGGGAATAAAAACTTGAAAGTATTTCTTCTCAGACATCTCGTGAGCTGCTAGGGCTGAACCATACGCTACCGCTCCGCAAAAACATGTGCAAGGCACCTCCCGCAGCGCATGGTAACAAAGAAAGTCGAGCACATTTCCGCTATCCGCGAAGTCAATGCCTTTTGGCTTTAACTTTGACTCTGGATATAAGCCAATACAGTGTTGCCTGCATAGCCCCGCAAAAAAAAAAAGGCCAGATTCAGCTGGTGCAGTTGACTGTCTGAAGCAGCGCGTTCAGTTTGCGAACTTTTCGACCCGAAACATGAAAAATCGTAAAAATATAGTTGTCATTACGATACTCGTAAAAATGTGCTGAAAATCGGGCACTTTACGATAAAATCGTAAAACTTGGCAGGTATGCTTTTAACTCTTTAAAATGTATCCCTAACTTCAACGTTCGGTAAAGCGCCACCCTCAGCTCAAGAGATCACAGAATCCCTAAGCACTCTCTAAAATAGCATAATAAAGGGAATAAACCTCTCATACTACACGTTCATTTGCTGAATGTAGCCTCATGTCGGCCCATGTTTTTAAATAACGCACAGGTCTCTGCTGTGCGCCCTAGCATGACATCATACTCTCATACAAAGAGCGGTAGCGTACCAACACACACCTAACCATAGGCCATATCCCTATAACCTAGGCACCACTAAACACGCATCTGAATGTAAATGTTCACAAAGAACAACACAAAAAAAATAACGCTAGATGCCGAACACGTCTAGAGCTCCTAACGAAAACTGCATAGGTTTTGTGCTAAAACCCTGCATAAAATGATTCTCAAACATGAGCGTTTTGAGATTTGCTTAGTTTTATTCTAAAACATTTCTTAACAATGTTCATCTCTCATAATACAGTGTAAACAACTACAAAGCATACAATCCTCGGCTCTGCTTGACAACACTACCACGCTTTCAAAACTAGTGGGCGTACAAATTTTCATTCCCGACTAAGGTGCTTTAAAAAAAAAAGGACACTCATCTCACGTAGTCGGATTACTGATGCGGGTCACTGCTTCCACATAACTCTTAACAACTTGACTCAAAACTTCTACAATTCTTTAAAAAAAAAACGAGAAGTGAAAAACTGTAGCTAGACAAACTAATCGCGGAGATGACAAAGGAATATTACTCTAAAACCAAAAATGAACAAGCATACAAAAAATTTGACCTTCAAAACCTCATGTGTCGTATTCTTCAGCTTACAGGTGCCTCTCACTCTTTAATCGTACACATGGCGGTCGTGGTCCTGGCAGACTTTGAAAACCTCCAAGGCCATAATGTGCACGAACGCCAAACTGAACTGCGTTGTCATGCCTAATTCGCGATACCGGCCTGCTTCTGTCAGTTCGTCGAAGGGGTCTCATGCAACGCGTGAGAAAGAGTGGCACCGCCACTCTTGGGCTTGCACTCGTGCGGTGCTTAGCCCCTGTGGCCTTTCGTCTAGGACCACGTCGACCTTCCTGTCTTCGCTAAACTGTAAACCTCTGCCGCGAATTCCGTCGCGGGGATGCGTGCTGTAGAATACCACTTCGCCGCTGGCGCCTTGCTGCACGACACAAAGGCTTGTTCAGTGAACTGGCCGGTGATCTGCTCTTCTTTCATTCGCCCGGCTGCTTGTCACCCTTTCCATGCCTTCGCATTGCTGCGTTTTTTCGCTTCGCTCTTTTACGGCAACATTTGCTGGCGACCTATTTCTCACTACTAGGAAGCTCACCTAAGGTTGTGTCATCGGTGGAATTACAACTCAAGGGCGCTTCTACACAGCCTTCCGTACCACTTCCGCGCTTCGTTTTTTTAGCACTGTTGCCATGTTGAGCCGATTCATCTGTGGTAACCCTGTACTCACGCGCCCAACTAAACTGGCGCCTCCCACTTCATTTCACTTGCGAAGGTCCCGCTGTTCATTTTTCTATCGTCCGGCAGTTCAGATGCATACAAATTAACATTGATGCTGACGCCAAACTCCTAGTTCTGCTTGCTGCGCTGATAGGTTTCGAACCTTTGTCAACACGCGTAGTGCTGCCTGCCTCACTCGTGGCTCTCGGACGTTTCTTGCGTCTGCGCCGCTTCTTGCGACTCGCCTACGAGCCTCCCGAACGCATTTCAAGCTCACGAACCCTCTCATAGCTTTAATCAGCTGTTTCAATCGCGCAGTCCAAGGGATTTTCGAGAAAATTGTCCTCTTTCTCACACCGCTGGCTGGCCGACAGCTTAACGCGCTTAAGAACAGTGCCACTGTTTTCCTTTAAACAGTCTAGCTCGCATATCAGTGAGCTATCTACCACTGCACTGTTTTCCCCACTCTCTGCATTCGCTGCTTCTCCTGAGCTTTCTTTGGTGTTCTTGATCACTTGAACCTCGTTTGCAAGAGCCACCATCGTGACAACCACAGTTGCGGTCTAAACCTGCTTTACAGCTATCCTAGCTGTTTCGCTAGCATTTAACTGGCACAGCACCTCATCGCACTCGCTCTGGACATCGGCGGCCTCTCTCATTAGAGCAGCATCTTTCGCAGCTCTCACATTCGGCTCATCTTCGAACCTTCTGCTGTTTTCACATGTGCTAGCCTTCTCTACAGCTCTGGACTACACTACACTAATTGGTTTGTTGCACTTCTCGTGTGCTACACTTGCGGATGGCTGAAACTTCCACCACATAGCTTCAACTTTACGTTCTAGTAGTACAATCTCTTCCTCTTGCTCTCTTTCTTCCTTTTTTTTTTTTTTCTCATTTCCTATTTCGTTACTCCAATTTTTTGACAGCTTATAACGCGTATCCAATATTCTCCTCACTGGTGCTTTGCAAAATCAGCTCTTAAGTTTGTGACCTTCCTACCCTTTTCTCATCCTTAATACTTAGGTCATCTTTTAGCCGTGTCTTCACCTCCATGATTGCCGTTCTACTTTGGTCCTGCATCTCACAAATAGTTAGGCGATCCCTCTCACTCAATACTCACAAGTAGGTGATCTCCCTATCTCATAATCAGTGTAGGTGATCTCCCTATCTCAACACGCTAAAAAAAATGAAGCCTGGAAAGTCTAAGTAAAGACCAAGCACGCACCACTACACAGCACCATGTCGCGAGGTCCATCTAACCGCTGCCAACCAGTTGTTAGGGGTACGAGGTTGATGATGGCAGGTACGGTAAGTTTCTTTACGGTAGCTGGCTTTCTGCCGTCGTCCGGATAGCCGATGTCCGCCAGTGAGGAGACACGTTCTTAGAGAGACAGAACGTAGGTTAATTTACATGATGAAAAAGATCAAACTGTACAGTAATTCAGCAGAGATTTCAGCTCAGATTCAGCTATGTACAGAGATTCAGCTCTTATTTACAGAGATTACAGAGATGTACAGAGATTCAGCTCTTACTTAATGTCTTTGGCTTTTATAGCCCATCGTCTCCTTACACGGAGGTCCGAAGAAGGCAGTGACCACTCTTGCCACGAATCCAGTGACGTGAAGTCTTGGTGGTCCACCCACCAGAAAGGGTGCAGAAATCGGGCCACTCGGGAGAAAAAGAACGTGGGTAAGAGTGTCCAATGGTTATCGCAAACGCACCACACAATAACGCACCCAGCCCATGCCTTAAAGGCAATGCAGGGCGAGGAGGTAGAGTCTGGTGGAGAGGGAGAATTGAGCTCCGCCGGGGAGATGGCGGCTGACTCGAACGTCAGCAGTGATCCATGGCTGCTTTCAGTTATGGATCATTTCTGGAAGCCTGTGCTTCCAGAACTCTCTCGAACATGGCAGTCCAAATGCTCGATCCCTCAGAACGGCTACTTCAACGCCTTTCCACGCTTCCGAACTGTTGGAGCCTTGCGATGACCTCGCGTAGGCGACAATAGCCCAGTTGAGAGGTTGACTCCATGAGAACTGCCATAGTGACATCGTCTCACGCTGTCTGAGCCCCGTTTAACAAAAGGGTTGTTTGCAATGGTTCTGCCGAGTGTCTCGTAACTCAATAACAGTGAACTGCCTGGCCCACCTGCAGGACAGCGTCGTGCTTGTTGCTTCTGACAGGGCGCCGATGGGGTCGAAAGCATTATAGCAGACAGGCTTACACACAATGGCGTCTGCTGAGACAAACTGCCGGGCCAAACGTAACAGAGGTAATTGAAATTATGCTGGGCTCATTAATATAGGTTGTTTGTTGCAGAGTTAACCTGTGTGCATGAAGCCCGTGTGCATCACATAGTTCGAGTGTGTGAGGTTGTTGGACCGTGTAAAATGCAGGCATGGCATTCATTTTTTGGGTTTTACTTCCAGGGTGAGCAGCCATGTCGTACATGCTGCAGCACCTGCACAATGGCTGGCAAGTAGACCAGGCCATCCTGTCGGAGGAGGACCGGGTGGTGGTCATCCGCTTTGGCCACGATTGGGACCCCACCTGCATGAAGATGGACGAGGTGCTCTACTCCATTGTCGAGAAGGTACCATACAGCTATGCATGGAATCTGATCGTCCGTTTGTGTGTACGTTACTTAAAGCTCGAGGTAATGTGTCAAGTATCCACAAAAAACCCTCTGCGCTGTTGCTATCAGCCGCTGACAAAGACAGTCTGCACCGAGTATGAACAATGAAAGGCTTCTGGTGCTAGAGTCGGGGCATTCTTCCATGGCCTGTGAGTATCAGCCAAGAAGGCCATGCTAAGATCAACTAGCCTTGCTAAATGGCTTGTGTAAAACTTCTTCCTGTTTTCGAGTGACAAAATGCTGACCTGCACTATGTCCCACCTATTAAATACTGCATCCCATTTTAAATTTGGCAAAAGCTGTAGTGAAAATGGAGGCAAAGCCATGTAAAACTGCAGCTTGTTTTTATGTACAGGGAGAGCTCGTTAATTCAGAATTGTAGAGGAGCATAAATTGTTCGAATTAGGCAGAGTTTGAATTAATGGCTATAATGAACAGACATTGTGCCACACTGTGTGGGCATAGCCAAAAGAAGCCACCTCGGGACTCGCTATCGCGAATTGGGTGCTACAGTTGAACTCCTTTAATAAAGGTATGCTCCGGGCAGCAATTCTTGTCATTTATACGAGATGTCTCTTATAAGTAGGGTACCTCATATGCATTTGCTTATCAACCCGTATTGACGCGCGTATGTGCCAGTGGCGGTGACAATGAAGCAGCGCGAGTGTCCTTGGCCGAGAGCAGAGACGAAGAAGATGCAGCAGTCTTGGTCCTGTGATCGATAAAGCGTATTTGTTCGAGGTGCTTTGTATGCTCGTCGATCCCGCGTCGTCACACTGGTGGAGGTGCTGGGTAGTCTTCATGCTTGGCACCCCTTCGCGGACCCGACATTCAAGCCCGGAATCACTACCACGCGTTGACACACCAGTCCACCGTTTCAGTCGCCGTCTGATAGGCCTGGCTCCTAAGCTCAAACCCTTGCGAGAAACTGCCAGCAATTGCTTGCCTCCTTCAACCACCATCGCCACTGCAGCTCCAGTGCACATGACACTACAGAATTCCACGATTCCCGATTGTTTTCATGGTGAGACTTATGAAGACGCCCAAGACTGGCTGGACCAGTTTGAACGCTGCGTGAAGTACAACCAGTGGGCCACCCCAGAAGACAAGCTCGCGATTGTGTACTTCTATCTGAAGGACAACGCTCAGACGTGGTACATCAACAGGTACATAAATTACCTACAAGGGCGAATGAATAGCGTGCCGAAGTTATTTTCGAGAGAGCTGCCGTCGTACTGCTTGCGAATGACGTTCTCTATAAGAAGAGCTTCTCACTCGCCGGCAGCAGCTACTTGCTCGTCGTTCCTTAAGATGTCCGCCTTCATCGGAAATGCGGCTGCCGCAGCCGGGATTCGAACCCGCGACCTGCGGGTCAGCAGCAGAGTACCTTAGCCACCAGACCACCGCGGCGGGGCGGATCTTTTAAGGAGGAAAGCCAGCATAATCCGTGGTGATCTGTGACCACGCTAAATGGGCGTCCGTAAGGATTCGTTCCTTCTTCGCTTCGCCATGAGGTACTGCAAGCATGCCACGACGAACCAACCGCTGGTCACTTGGGCTACGCAAGAACATTGGCGAGGATAAGGCAAGACTATTACTGGCCAAGACTTGCCGGTGTCGTCAAAACTTACGTGCAGGCATGTCTAGATTGCCAGCGTCGCAAACCACCATCCATCAAACCAGCCGGCCTGCTGCAGCCTCTCCTAGTGCCGGCGACATTGTTCGCACAAATTGGCATGGATTTTCTGGGCCCCTTCCCAAAGTCTGCCACTGGAAACAGGTGGATAATTGTCGCCACAGATTACCTGACTTGATACGTGGAGACAGGCGCTCTGCCACGCGTAACGGCAGCTGAAGCGGCGCAATTTTTCGTCGAAGCCATCATTTTAAGACACGGTGCTCCCGCAACGGTCATCACCAACAGAGGTACTGTGTTCATGGCCCAGCTTTTAGACACCGTTTTCCGACTAAGTGGTACTGCTCACAGAAAGACAACGGCGTGTCATCCCCAGACCAACGGGCTCACCGAACATCTCAACAAGACACTAGCTGACATGATAAGCATGTACGTAGATGTAGAGCACAAGAACTGGGACGACATATTGCCCTACGTCACGTTCGTGTACAACACGGCTCGTCAGGAGACTACTCGGAAGACACCCTTCAGTCTACTTTACAGACGCGAAGTCACGATAACGTTACATGCGATGCTCCCTCATGAAAAAGTTGGCAATGAGACAGACGCCGAACAGTTTACCCAGCGAGGAGAGGAAGCCAGACGACTTGCCAGGTTTCGAATAACCAAACAACAAGACGATGATGCCAAACATTACAACCTCCGGCAGAGAACCGTCGCATACAACGTGGGCGACAAAGTGTGGGTCTGGACACCTACCGTATTTACTCGATTCTACCGCGCCCTGGATTGTAATGCGCACCCGGATTCCACGACGAAAAAAAAAAAAAAAGTAAGACATCGATTGCAACGCGCACCCATTTTTCTCGTTGGCCCGCACGATCACACCACTCGGGAACACGACTCCTTTCAGGAGCATCTTCCTTTTAAATATGAGGTACCGGGAAAGCTTGTGCCTATCTGACGTGCAACAGAGCATTGCCGTCGCTCTAGTTTAACCGTGGCCCAATGTCAGCCCGCGAACTTGCTTCGCCCCCTTCTCGACGGTTGTGGTGCCAGGCATGTCGAAGTAAAGAGGCGTCAGATGGGCATTCCCGATTTGCCCAAGTAGGTAGCCGTTGTTGTGCCACAAGTTTAGGACGAACCTCTGAAAACTGTGAAGCTTTTCATCGTACTCCTCCGGAACCTTTTCGCATATGCCCGTTAGCCTTCGGAGGGAAAAGCCTTTCCTCTTCATAAAGTTACTTATCCAGCACCTGCTCGCTTTACACTGGCTCCGCATTAGCTCATTTTCTAAGGCTAATTGCATAGCCTGCACATGGAGCAGTTCTGTCGTCACAGGCCGCTGTGCCGCTCAATCACATACTTGCGAAGCAGCTCTTCAATTTGCGGAAACCGATCCTGCTGTGGTCCACTGAAGCCTTTATCTTTCCTGTCGACAATCTTCTGCTTTTATTTCCGCCAGTCCCGCACGCACATTTCGGGAACTCTGAATGGCCGCGATGAGGCCCGATTTCCGTCCGTTTTGGCACACGCGATGACTTTTCTTTTAAAAGCGGCATCGTGGTGCACTCGTCGAGTTTTTGGAGTGAGTCCTTGCCGTCCATGCATGCCATCCATGCCGTCGATGCTAATGAACTACAAGATGACGAACTCCTCAGCACACGTACGAAGTGCCGCACATGGGAAACACATTGACAGAAATGGCCGACGCACCATGCCGACGCACGTAAGGGACGGCCATTTTGGAAATCCCGATGCCAACAGAATGACCTATTCATTTTTTTTTCGTACTCGATTCTAACGCGCATGCGATTTATTTACTCGCTTAACCGGAAAAAAAGTGCGCGTTAGATTCGAGTAATTACGGTATTCGTCAGCGTGGGCTTTCCGAAAAGCTGTTGCCAAGGTACTTCGGACTCTAGAAGGTTCTGTGACACATCAGTGACGTCAACTACGAGGTTGTTCCGGAAGGCGTTCAGTGTTCAAAGTGCCGCAGACATTCACCAGAGATTGTCCACGTGCTTCGGATGAAGCTTTACTTTCTGTGACTAACGGTGCAGTTTTGGTTTTATTTTGCATTCGGAAGGTTTAACATTGGGGCAATGGTTTTTTTAAAGGGGGAATAATGACGCGCGTATGTGCAGTGGCGGTGACAACGAAGCAGTGCGAGTGTCCTTGGCCGAGAGCAGAGACGAAGAAGACGTTGCAGTCTTTGTCCTGTGATCGATAAAGCGTATTTGTTCGAGGTGCTTTATGTGCTCGTCGATCCCGCGTCGTCACAGTATTTTACTGTAGGCACACTGGTGTATCTTAAATCAGTGTCTCTTTTAAAGGGGTTTTAAACTACTATGCATTTTTGGCAGCTGATTTCTTAAATTAAGTTGAGGGAGTTTCTGCAATGAAAACTAAAAGTAATTGGGTATTTTCACTGGCTTGTGTTTATGTCCCAATCCCATGAGCATCATCCGTAGCTTGCCGAAGTGCTTTAGAGCAGTGTTGGAATTCTAATCTGCTGAGAAGTGCTGTTGTTTTGTTGTTTTGCATGTTTACTAAACTTGGTTTGATTTAGTCTTGCAATATTATTTAAAACGTATGGGCTGACTTATAAGAGCAGTGACGTAAACCAAGGGCTCCCAGTTTGAACTGTTGTAGATACCAATACGTTAGGATTGTGCCAGGACATTGCTTTGAATTAACTGTAAATTTCGATTAACCGAGCTCGAAATAACAAGGTTTCACTGTACTGCCATGCACAGTTCACTGAAATTGTGTTGGTCTCGTGCATGTAGAACATTGATCAGCTCTCAGTGACTAGGACACTGAAATTAGTTAGGCCATGCAGAAGAGTCTATATGATACGTTTTATTGTGTTGCTCTGCCATGGAAAGTCTTGTAGATTGGTGGTTGTGCCTGGAACATTTTTGTAAGACACGTGAAAACAAAATTGACTGATGTTTATTCACAGCAGTAAACTCGCCCTTCCTAGTCAAATTAGCACAAATGGATACTGATACAAACGGACAAGTCAGACAGGCACAGGGGCTACCAACAACTGTTTATTTTGAAAACATCCCTTCGAGTTATATACGTTCTGTTGTGCATGCAGTGTGGCACATAGTCAAAATGTAAAAAAAAAATGATTAAGTCTAACAGTTCAAAAAGTACTCTGCATGAAATCATATTCCGAAAGATCATATTCCGAAACTAATTCTATTGAAGCCATGCTGGTGTAGATTTATTCTAGGTACCGAGGTGTACAAATATGCTGCCTAAAATCTTAGTGTCCTGTAAATGTTCAACCTATGTGCTTGCATATCCG